TTCCTCCAGAGTTAGTTTCATTAATTTGTCTTCCAAGGTACTTCTTAGAAGTTGTCAAATTTATTTCAAAACAGATTTTTGAAATATGCTTTCTGTATTCTTTTAAATTCTGTAAAATCTGTGGTAATGGTTCCTAAATCTTGATATTATAATTTAAAAAATGTATAATTGATATTGTGTAACAGGAAGAAAAGGTCTAAAGGTGCAGGGGAAGTGGGAGGGGTAGGGCAAGGGAAAAAAAGGGAAAAGAAAAAATATGAGAAAAGGGAAAAAATGGAAACAAGATCTTTGCAAATAGGGAAGGGTGGAGGGGGTGAAGGGAGGGCAAGGGAAGGAGAAAAAAAAGAACCAAGACACTCATGTAATGGTACAAGATCCCAATGATGAATGTAACTGTATTTTATACCAAAAATGTACCAGTAAACTTAATGGGAAAAAAAATCTAAGAGATAATCCTGGCTCTGAGGTCATGTCTTTCTCTGAAATCTCTATGAGCAGGTGATTTATCAGAAGCACACACCTGACTATGTCACAATCCATGTCATGCCTTGAAAATGGATTCTAAACTAAGTCTCCTAATAGCTGTCTACTCTTGGCTTTATTGCTCATCTCTGCCTGTTGTTTTCTCTTGGTCTTAGTGAATCGTTCTACCAGCTGTACCCAAAAGAGCATCTACGAAACAGCTACAATACCGCTTCCCATGCCTACATACCTTGCCCTTCCTCCTACCCACCTTGGGCTGGTCCCCACCCCTTGGCAGACAAAGGTATCTGGTCCCAGCACCTCCACCTGGACTGGAAACTTCATTTTGGTAAATATCCCTAGTATCCATCATGACAAAATCTAAATAATCAAACCAGTCAGTAGTTTGTAGACACAATTAAAAATCTGGTGATATTTTCTTCATTGAGTGAGATTTTACCATTAAAGCCAATGACACAGTTTTGTTCTCCTTTATTCTTCACTTCTGAAAGCAGTCAGTGTCCTTCCAATGTCACCTTTACCCCTCAGCTCCACAGATTTGGAGGAAACATGGTGTGAGCATTGGACAAGGGTGATGTGGTGTCAGCCACAGGGACTGTGTCTCAGCTCTGATGCCTCAGCAGGATTCCAGGAGCTCAATGCATCTTCCTCAGACTTTTACGGTCCCTTGCCCTTGCCCTTGGTCTTGTATCTGCGATTTACTCTTTTTCTCTGCTCTTGAGTGGTTCCTCCTCATTAGTTCGGTGGGAGCCAGGGTGAAGTGGGTTAGTTTCTGTCATAGTTGCACCTCTCTTTTCTTTCTGGGATGTGTCCCTCATCACTCTGCTGCTCTCCCTGTTTCTCAGCAGTTAGAGTTTTTATCAGGACCCAAATACAAACTTCCCATTTCAGACATTACCCTGGATGTCACACCAATTGTATTTAACTGGCTTCCCACTTTCTTGAGTTCTTTCTAGAAGAACTTAGACCATCAGCTGTACAGTAGTACAAACTACACCCATGATATTGGGTTTATATTTGCCCTCTCTGCTCACAATCAAGCAAGGTCATTTTCTTTGACCTCAAATACCGCTGACTCTTCACAAGGAGGCTCAGTTTTTCAGAGCCTCAGGCAAGCCTATGAGTCTAGGTTACCCTCTACCCACTGCCCTCCCTCCTCACCTTCATGAGCTGTTACTTTTGTGTATTCTCTCTTCCATAAATTTTATTGCGTCCTTAATATGAATTGGATATCTGTTCCCAAGAATTCATGTGTTGGGAACTTAATACCAAATCATGTTAATGGTATTTAGAGGTGGGAATTTGGGAAGTGAATGGGTCATGGGAGTTCAGCCTTATGAATGGATTAAAAACTAATTGATAGAATGAGTTAGTTGTCACAAGAGTGGGTCTGTGATAAAAGCCATCTCTCATGAGCCCTTTTGATATTGGATGCCCTGTCCCATCTCAGGACTGCTGAGAGTCTCCACCAGCAAGAAGGCTCTTGCCAGGACTCAATCTTGACCTTGAACTTTCCGGCATCCACAACCCATGCTAACTAAATCTCTATTCTTTATAAATTACTCAATATGTGTTAATTGGTTATCACATCAGAAAATTACCCAGACAGTATTTGTTCTGAGATAAGCCCTGGAGGATCCTCCAGGATGTACTGTATGCCCTGGGTCCAGCCACGAGGAGATAGTTCGCCCTCACCCAGACCTGGACCACAGCATGGTAGAACAGACCATCAATTCCAGAGATGCAGAGAATTTGGATCTGGCTCTGAGTGTTGCTTCTACTTAGGCCCATAACTGGTGTTCAGTAAATCATACTAAAGTGGTAAATGAGAGAATGAATGATGGATGCCATCTGGAGGGTCACTGAAACACATCTCAGCAAAGGTGAGACAGGCAGCTTCAGTGGAGGTGTGCTCTGGGACACAGAAAGATGGCAGTGAGCACCCAAGGGTGAAGTAAAGCAGTAAGTACTAGGAAAGAGAAATCTTTCCCAGGTAGGGGCCAAGCCATGAATCAGGGATAGAGTCAAATAAATGTCTTTAAAAGATTGAGGATTCTCGAGAAATTGTCCTATTGTATCCACAGAGCACAAACCTCAAAAATAATAATATTCATTTATATACATGAACAAGGTTCCAGGCACTCTTCTTAGCTCTATACATACATGTTGTAGTCTGTTTTCTGTTGCTATACCACAGTATCTGAGACCAGTGTGAAGAACTGAAGTTCATTTGGCTCACGGTTCTGGAGACTTTGAAGCCTCAGAGCCTGGCACCAGCATCTGCCTGGAATATGGTGAGGCCTTCCTGCTGCATCCTAACATGGCAGAGGGCATTGAATGCCCTCATGGGTCCACTTCCATGGCCTAGTCACCTTCTCTTTCTACATGCCATTGACACAGGATTTTGAGGATTAAGTTTTCAATACATGAACTTTTTGGGGAGCACACTCGTAACACAGCAATATATTCATTCATTTAATTCTCACAATTTTCTGTTGTCCCTGCCAGAGAAATTAAATCACTTACTCTGGGTCACACAGCAAGTAAGTGGTGGGCTAGAATTTGGATGCAAGTAAACTGTGCTTAGCCAGATTCAATGGATTTGAAACGCTGGGCTTGTAATTCTGAAATGCACTGCCTAAACTGTGGCGCTGATGCAAAATCCAAATATGGCAGGCATTCTCTGTGCTGTAAAAACCTGCTATTAAGGCCATGTGAGGTGTGTGTGACAGATGCATAATGTATATATTTTGCTTGACATTTTTTTTCCAGTACCAGGGATTGAACTTGACCTTGCACTTGCCGGGCAGGTGCGGCGCCACTGAGCTACATCCCCGGCCTTGCTTGACATATTTTCTGAGTCAGAGCTCTGCCTGACTTTCTGATTTAACTTCAGGTAACCTAAAGTTTCCACACATTGTGCACTAATGCTGTACCTTTTTCTTTCTTTCCAGGATTTGTCTTGCAGAATAGCCAGTGCCCCAGACCTGGTAAGAGCAGCTTCTCTTCTCTCCCTCTTCCTTCTCTTTATTACATCCTACCTAGATGATCAGTCTGACAGCTTTGTGTTTTTCTCAAATTTCAAAATGCACTTTCTGTCAGGATTTCTTTGGGTCTTTGGCTTCTTTGGCTTCTTTTTGTTTTGAAATTATGTCGTCTCTTGCCATAATTTTATGCTATATGTGAATCTTACTCATCTATACTGCGAGCACCAAGTGTTTTGCTATTTTGGTCAGTCCATTTGTAGGCAAATATATTTTAGAAAAAGTAAAATGTATTCACTTCACACTGATAGAAAACCAGACATAGAGCCTTATATTGTAAAGTAGTTTTTAGTGATTAAAAAAACTGGGAATGTATTGGTGTTTTGATTTGTTTTATTGTACAGGCATAAGCTCATGATTTAACATGTATGTACTTAAGTATGACCTGCAGCCAGCCATGTACAGGTGGATTTTAAATCCACAGATTGAATAAACCAAAGACTAAAAAAGTTTTTTAAAAGTTGTGCCTATGCAAAACATATACAGAATTTTGTCATTATTCCTTTATAAATATACCACAGCACCTATTCGCTTAGCATTGACATATTAGGTATTATAAGTCACCCAGAGATGATAGTCTACAGGAGGGTATGTGTGATTTCTATGCAAATACTACACCATTAAATTCTTTTTATTAGGAGTTGATTGTTTGCTAATATTGGTGCCCTCTAGGGTTCTGAAATCAATCTCTCACAGACACTGAGGAATGACTGTATCCATGTCTTCTTGTAGACTGAATTGTGTTACCAATCCCTTCACAGTTTCAAGGTCAAAATGTTCTTTCTAATGGACCTAGAGAAGTGTTGCAAAAGACCATGGTTTCCATCTTAGCATTATTTTTAGCCATGATTTACCTGTTGGGCTTAAGAATCTAAGGAAGGCCATTTAGGTAATGAATGAAATATCTTTTTCTATTCCATTTTTTTTTTTGGTCAACATGGACAGCAGCTTAAGAAGAGCTTTAACTGAGTTAGACAATACATTATTTAGGAAATGCAATGTGAGATTACATTTAGGCTCAGAAATCCAGTCTATCTATGAATGGCCATGACACAGGTATGGTTTACTGTGATGCAATCACTTGCTTGTGTGAAATTCAGATGGTTACTCATTAATTCAGTGAACCATTGCCTTATGTGACATGACATTCACTTGCTATTTTTCTTTGACCTGCAATAAGGAGGCTATATCTCTTATATTTTGCTTAATTGACACATTTAAAAATAACTATTTGCATTTGTCTGTGAAAAACTTAAATTATGGAATGTGGTGTCAAAGTTTTATATACATTGCAAATGAATTATCAATCAGATATGTGTATATCTTAGAATCATTTAGCATTAAATTAGATAAAAAGAAATTATGATGAGGTATAAGAAACTTAGTTGTTCTTTTTAAAAAAATATTTGTGTAATTTAGAATGAAAGAAAATATTAAGGCATACCTAGCTGGGTGGATTTCAATATTATCAGAATTTGAGTGATTGTCTGGGAAGGTGAATGTGTTTCCAAAGAAGGTTCTGCTATGTCACCTGATTTTTATTTATAAAAGAGAAGCACAGTGTGAGTTTTTTTAACATCACTGCAAATTTGATAGCCGTGGAACTAGTTAAAATTTCTGTATGTTTTTGTGGTTTGGTTTTGTTTATAAACTCATTACTTAAAAACTATTACCTTACCGTATGTTTCTGTATATTATAAAACATTTTTAATGTCATAAATTAAATGGTTATCACCTTTCCTTTAGGAGCTAGTTACCAGTGTATTCTCTCTCTCTCTCTCTCCCTCTCCCTCTCTCTCTCCCTCTCTCTCTCTCTCCCTCTCTCTTTCCTGCATACTTTATAATTAAAATAAATGTCATTAATGAAAGTCCTTCTCCGAGGTCAGATTTTATTTTTAAAGTAAAACTATAGTGGAAAAACCCTGTAGAACTTGTCTAAAAATTATGTTGCTTGGAAATGATTCTGGAATCCCAGGCAGCTTGGAGGTTCCATTTGGCACTAGGAACCCAAGGGAAAGAAATATTCCATGTGCAAGGAGAGCTTCCAGGATTAATAAGGCCACATCAGCAACCACAGGCATCGACTTTAGGGGCACACGAGCACTGAGAGAATGGCCCATCCCTTTCTTCTGTGGTCCATCCCTGGGATTCTCTTGCCAGAGGACTTCTGGGTTCCCACATTGAAATCCAGACATTTCTTCGTCATTGACGCTTAAGCCCTCAGTATGTGATGTGCAGACCCGAGCTTCTACCCTAGGAAGCCACCTGACGGCAAAGAGACGCACTTGCAGCCGGCACCTGGGCTTCTGCCGGCAGCTTTTCCCCGCTGACATGAGACCTACCAACCGCCGGTGCGGTGACTTCAAGGCCTGCAGAGATCTGTGCTTTGAGGCTTTCATGTTTTGGCATTTACTTAGCTTCTTGTTTAAACTGTCCCACTTCAAACTTAGGAGGATGTGATTCTCTAATTATAATGTTGGAACTTTAAACTCATCAGTTGTGAACACTGTTGGTAAAAGAAGCAAAAAAACACACTAGGGTTCTCTATCGGCACCAAGTTCTCAGATGCATTCGCTCCTGTGCACTGAGAGGCACCTGTGACTTTATGGAAACTTGTTTTTTATCTCTAACCAAATATTTTATTAACATACATACGAATATATTTAATAGTTTTAAAGTAAGTTTACAGACATCTGAGATAGAAACTATTGACCTAAATTTTCAAATAACTGCTTATATGTATGCTCACCATGAAAATAAGATCTTTATGATAAGTAAAAATTTTCCAGATACTGGTAATTGATTTAAAACTTTAAGACTGAAGTTAATTGAGAACCCCTTCAAATTTAGGTTCTAAAAGAAATTGATATTCTGATTTGATTGTTAACACTTGAGTCTCACAAATCCAGTTTCCCTTAGAGACCGCAAGAGGGAGCTGTTGAACCTCAAACTAAATTTAGTAGACTTTAAACCCTAAATCTTGGGGTAAACTGTTCAAATAATCTGGCCTGTAAAATTTAACTTGCATTATAATATGCAGTGGTATTGTTTTTATTCCCATTAGTGCAAAATGTATGCAGATCATAAGGAGATACTGTGTTAAATTCCATGAATACTTGTGAGGGCATAGTATTTGGAAGATACTATGCTAAAAGGAATACAAAGAAATAATTTGAGTGACTCCTAAACATGTGTGTCTGCATCTATGCACATGTGCATTAAAAATAGAACATAATATACAAGAAACATTAAAGAAGAGACAAAATATGTCTCCAAAGAGAGAAAGGCACAGGGAAACACAGCAAGGAGCAGGTAGCCTTGAAGAAGGCTGAATTTGGGAGCCTGACAAAGACAAAAAATATGCTGAGTGTAGAGTACAGAATAAATATTTTTAAAGTGTGAGGACTTCAAATAATGTGGTTTGCTGGAAGCAAAGTTTGGATAAAAATGATTGTGACTTACTCTAATTATGGTAAGTATCAAAATCAGGCCAAATGAATAAGTAACTCACAATGCAGAAGTAGGGCTGGGAAACAAATCCTCTCCTACCTGAGGTTTCCTCTGTGACCTCTGATACATTTGGGCCTCAAACCCATCTGGCTATAGATGGGACCTGGAATGTGCCCAAGGCCCATGTGTGAAAGGCCTGGGCCTCAGCTGAGGGCGACTGGGAGGTGAGGGAGATGTTAGGAGGTGGAGCCTCGTGGGAAGTCATAGGCAATCAATCGGGGCAAGGAGCTCTCAGAGGAGACAGTTCGATACCTCTCTCTCTCTCTGTTTCTCTCTCTCTCACACACCCCCCCTTCCTTCCCTGGTTGACTTAAGGTGATTGACATTTTTTGGCATTGTTCACCACGTATCTATTGAAATCACAGTATATGCAGGGTCTTAGGAAATCTTAATATTTGTTATACTGTCCTGAACTTGATAAAGCCTTTGTGAAATTTTAAAAGATTATTGAAAACCATCTTCTTTTTAATTATTCCGATAGAAATCACTACTACTTGGAGTACTACAGGTAGCTTTGAAAATTTTAAATAATGTTCCATGGATACATAGTTTCAGTTATCCAAGATGAGAAAGCTCTGGAGATTGTTTGCACAACAAAAGGAGTATACTTAGCACTACTGAACGTACATTTGAAAATGGTTAAGAAGGTAAGTTTTAGGTTATGTTTTTTTCACCACAATTTTAAAAATTAAGAAATATTTTTTTTCAAGCTAAAATAACCATCTCTGTGTTGTGGAATGAACTTAGCTGTTATGTTTTCTGCAACTCAGGTTGGGGGAAAGGGCACATTCTGTGGGCCGTGGTGTTTGCACTGATGAGTACATGGTGGACCCTAAAGTTATGACTGGCCTGACATACGAACAACTTGGGTTAATTACGTTAAGGGAAGATTCATCTGCCTCTTGTTATAAATCTCAGCTGTATTGACTTACAACCAAACTTGAGTTTCAGAATTTTCCAGAATTTCTTAGAATTTCCCAGAATTTACAATGTTGGCTCCTTTAGAAAAGGACAATATCTAGACAATAGCTTCACTTTCTGTGTTAAGAAAAACACATAGAAACTGTTCACATACACTTGGACCCTTTATGAAGGCCACAAATGTTATGGCAAAGCTGTCTTGGTTACTTTCTTATTGCTGGGACAAGATACACAACACCCTCATGTTAAAGGAAGAAAGGTTTATTTTATCTCATAGTTTGTAGAAGTTTCAGTCCATAGTCAGCTGGCTCCAAGGCAGGGTGGCAAGGCAGAGGGGCATCACAGAGGAGAAGCAGTCCATGGCATGGCAGCCAGGAGGCAGAAAGCAGTGAACCTTCCTTTCCTTTTATATTCCATCCAGGATACAAGCCTATTGCTTGGTGCCACCCATGCCCAGGGTAATGCTTCTGTGTTCAGTAAATCCATTCAACCACTCTATGCTAAACTAATCAGTGGACTGATCTGTTTATTCCCACAAACTAGATCCACCCACCTCCGAAAAGCCCCACCTATGAGTGCATGAGACTTCGGGCGGGGTGGCATTTAGATACAAGCCATAACAAAAGCTGAGTGAATTCATTTCTCTGGAGACAACATGATTCAGATACTTTGACTCTTTAGTTACCTGATTTAAAGAGAAAAACAGTAGAATAACTTCAAAATAACTTTATACTTCAGTGTTAAATTTGCCCCCAAATGTATTTAAACTTTTAAATATACATAAACCTAACAGTAATCACTGCATGAGGGTGGCCCAGCCTTATTGAGTGTCTAGTTTTCATTCTGACAATTCAGTTTAGTTAGTGAGAAGTCCTAAAACTTAGTTTTTTGTTTTCTAGGTCACCCAAACTGAGAATACTGGGCATTTAATATAATCCTGGCTAGGGAGTGTTTGACTCATTTATTTATTTTACTCAATTTGGGTAAATTGGAAAGGTTTACATAATGCAATAAGGTTACATAATGCAATATTTTTAATGGAGAGAAAGAAAACTTTTAAAAGATATTTGACACAGGGACCTGCACCAAGTCTTTAGGTAACAGCTGGATGTCTCTCAGACCTGCAGGGTTTGATTGTATCATTTGAGAGCAAGACCGCTCACATAACCTCCATACTTGGTGAGAAGCCATCAAATTCGACAAAACCCCTCAGAACACAGAATTTCAAAAGTCTAATAAAAATGGAAGCCAAAAGTAGCCCTGTTAAAAGAAAAAGAGAGAGAGAAAACAACCAAAGGTATATAGCACCCAATTCCTTCACATTTGTTTTTTGATAAGGCCAGAAGAATCCTGCAGGTCCTTCGTATTACTGATGGCCAGAGCCTCATGGTATCAGAGATGGATTCTTCACTTCCCTTAACAATTATGCTAATGTGATCTGCAGCCAGAAGCCAGAGCTCCTGCCCCAACCAAAGTGTTCTGCTGACCTCCTGGTTTCAACTCATGGGTACATTGACCACTCCCAGCAGCCCTGATGTGCAGAAGGCAATCAACACACAGCGGCTGTTTCAGGCTTTGGCTTCTTGAGGCTCATGAAGGCTCTGGTTTGCTGGCCTAGCTGCAGTGAGGTCCTGACACTCTGCTGAGGAGCTGTGTTCCCCCAGTCTCACATCAAGCAAAAGGAACCTGTATTTAGGGTATTGCTTATGGTGATGACGAAGAAAGTTACCTCTGCCCTGGCTCAGTTTCCATGGATCATGCGGTGGGTGAGTCCCACAGATTGGCCTGTGTGACAGAGTAGGAACTGCCAGGAGAAACCAGTGAAAGGAAAATCAGGAGACTCTATAGTATATTATAAGAGATGCCCCATTTGCTTTTTGCATTTATCCATGAAAATCTTCACTAAACAGAAAGGAAGAAGAAATTGGAAGTTTGCTCTCTCAACTTATTTATGGAAGATAAGACCATTATCTACATTGAGTTTGTGAAGATTCTATACTACTCCTTTTATTGTGGTGAGTACATTTCCAATATTTGATTAAGATCCATGGGCTGTGCCTTCCCCCACCCACAGAAAAATTCCTGTAATGAATCATGAGTTCATCAACATTCAACAGCTGTTGAAAAGACCATTTAGATTCCCAGAATGATGCTGGAGAATTATTGAAATTCTGGTGTTGGATAAGAAGGGAATTGAAGGGAAGGAAAATGAACAACCTAAATTTCAAACCCAGGGGAGCCTTCCTTACATAACCTACTAATCTGTTCCTGGACAGTTATTGCCAGGCAGAGGAAGAGAGTAGAAGAAAGTTACTGTACCTTCTGCTCGGGATTAACTATACAGTGGTCCTCCAGCAACCTTGGTTGTAGGACCCCCAGTGACAGCAATATCCACAGACTCTCAAGCCTCTTCTATAAAATGCTGTTGTACTCACACAGAGCCTACCTGATCCTCCTACATACTTTAATCTATAGATGGCCTATAGTAACTAACACAATGTAAGTGCTGTAGACATGATCACCATACTGTATTGTTTAGGGAATGACAAAGAAGGTCTGTACATGTTCAGTACAGATGTGATTTTCTAACATATTCAGTCCTTTGTTGGTTGAATCCAAGGACACAGGAGATATTGTGATGTAAGCCGATTGTGGTGTAGGAGACCAGATTCCCCATCAAATTGGTTGAGTTTAGTCACTGAATGCTAAATCCTTACTTTATTTTAGTGTCTGTAGCAGTCATTGTTGGTTAATATCCAACAGGGACTTGAATCTCTCACCTGACATGGAAGGACTTGGTGCAGGTCTCTGAGTTAAATATCACTGAAAACTTAAATTGATGTTTTATATTCTACTGACAGCTCTTGATAAAGTCATTCAGAGAACTATCCCACTTCTTCATAAATTTAAGCAATATCTCCCCAATAATATTATCGAATATATATGTATATATGTATATATTGCTGCATGACAAGTCAGACAACACTTAATAGTTTAAAGCAACTGTTTCATTATTCCTGAAAGTTCTGTGTATTGCCTGTGGGCTCTTGAGCAGCTCTAGACCTGTGTTGTCACCTGGGGACACAGTCATCTGAAGGTTTTGTTGGGCTGAGTGCCAATATGGCCATGCACATGCCTGTCAGCTGGGTGCTGACCACAACACCTGTGTGCAGTTCCTGGCCCAGGACTTTCCCAGTGTGGCAGGTGGATCTGAGAGGCAAAGTCCTAGGATGAAGTACTAGCCTAGTATTGCTGGTGCCATAACCTATTGCTTAAGCAGTCATGGGCCAGGCTACATTCAGGATGTGTGAAAATAAATTCTTCTCAATGGGGAGAGTTATAAGAAATCCTGCCTATCTTTTTATCCATCCAATCTCTTGTTAATAAATAAAAGTTAGGTCACATTATAAGGCTATTTGGGAAGGAAAAGAAACTTCCTATGTCTTTCATTTCCTAAATGTGTATTTCAGTAGATAGCAGTTATATGGCAAATAATGCCACATTCATAATCAAATATTAAGAGAACCACCACCATCTATGCTTTTCTTTATTGCAAATTATTTACTTCCTAAAAGATTTTTTTTTGTATTAAATTCTTTTATTGGTACATTGTAGGTATACAACACAATTACGTTTCTCATTGGGAATTGTACCTTTACATAATGCATCTTGGTTCTTATTTTTTCCCCATTC